CGAAGAGCAGCACCCGCTCACCACAACTAGAGGAAGCCCGCACACAGCAACGAAGACCCAACGCAGCCAAAAATAAATAAATAAAATAAATTAAAAACACAAAAAACTGGTCAGCTTTGTTCGTTCGATTACATTTCTTTTAAAAAGCCTAAAGCACTTGCCCAGGCTCAAGGCTATGAAAACTTGGCACATAAAAACCCACTGGAGACAGAAGTGTACGGGCAATACACTATTACAGCAACAACCCCCAGTTACAGCTGAGAATCTTCCCATAACAGCCAAGCGGATAATTAAACATCGCCACGACTCGAATATGAGCAAAGTGCATTCCTGTAGTAGCCACAGTTCCTGTTGCGCTAACTTAAAATATCTGCAAAGACCCATGCAATAAACTACCTCTGCCTGAGAATTTAGGATGGAATCTTTTTTCTTATTGAGTCATAGGATTTCTTTTTATGTCTGGGTGTAAGTTTTTTCCTTGGAAACGTGTGTTGGCATCATCTCCTCCCGGTTTTCGCTTGCCTCTGCATGCTGTCTTTTAATGAACACAAGCTCTGAATTTAATGAAGTCCAGTCTATCTAGCTTTTCTTTTCTGGTTAGTAATTTCTCTGTCCTGTTTAAGAAACAGTTACCTACCTCACTGCCATCCCCAACCCTGTTACATTCTTGACTGTGAGCTTATTTCTTCGCAGATGTCCTGTTTCATCTGCTCTGAATTTCTGACTTACCGGCTGCCCTGACCCCATTGCAGTGATATTCTTCAAAGCCTCTCTTACCTGTGCAGATCGGTGATCTGCTGACAGATAGACCTCTCATTACTCCCTGTTTCTTGGGCCTCTCTCTCTGGTTTTCTGAGTTGTGCCTGGTCACAGCTGCAGCGTCAGTGCCACGTCTTGCAGTTAATGACCGCCTCAGTAGCCTCGTCTCGCCGCGCCGGCGCCGTCTTAAGCGGAAACTTCAATTTAGAGTCAACACGACATGTCGAAGGGGCTCGATTCCATTAGGGTCGTCCTTTATTAGCCTCCTGTGGAAGTATGCAATCTGCAGGAATTTCCACAATTTGCGTTTCCTACGAGTTGTACTTGGAGGACACTGGGTCAGACTGGGGGAGAGGGGAAAACCAGAGGCCTCTTGAGATCCACGTGGCTGACAGAGGCGGGAGCCAGCAGGCACTGCGGAGCACGGGTGGCCAATCTGGAGAGCAGATGAAATTGGGAACGTTAAAGCCCAAAAGAGGAAAAAGAGCTTCCACTCCTGCATGTTTGGTATCTGACGAAGTGAGCCTGCGTGCTGGGGCTGGGAGGACAAAGCGTTTCCAGGGGGAGAGAGACCCCTCCCTGGAAGACTCGGCACCCCACCTGATCCGGATTTGCTCCCACCGTCCTCCAAAAGCTGGCCTGCAGCGGCTCCTTTGTCCTTAATTATGAGCCCCCAGCCTCAGCGAAGCGCAAGAAAACTCAGCCCACCCTAGTTAATGGCAGGTAAATGCACCTGATGGTAGGTGACTACAGCCACGGTCTCCTTTGCAACGAGTGTAGCAGGTTTTGCATGTCAAAAGCCCCCTCAGAATTAGGAACATGTGCAGAGGAGTTAACACAGCAGACTCGAGACTGGGGTCCCCAGAAGGGCCGCCTTCCAAGCTCAGCCCTTGGCTGGCGTCTGGGAAGGTGGATTTGGGGAGGGTCCCCCCCTCCCAGGACTGATGAGCGGCTCCCTGTGCCTAGGCCGTGTGAACAGACGGGGGTGGTGGTGCCGGACTCCTGCTGTCCTCCTGCGAGTCTGGGGTTTGGGTGCGCGTCAGGCAGAGGGTGCTCGTGTGAACGGCCCCCCGAATAAAGACCCCGCGCGCTGAAGCTCTAACGCATCCCTGATGGACGACGCTGCACACGTGCTGTCACAGCTCGCGGCTGGGGGAATTTAGCGTGTCCTGTGCGACCCCATTAGAGAGGATGCTGGAGCCTGGTTCCCCCGGACTTCACCCCCGCAACCCCTACCCAGCCTCTGAGCTGATCGTGCTCTGCATCCTCTCTCTGTAATAGATCAGCTGTGATGACAGCGCTGTGCTGCGTCCCCGAGTCCTCCTAGCGACCCACTGAACTTGGACATGTTCTTGGAGACCCCCACCTCAGACCCCCAACTCATATATTGGAGCACAGAGATGAACAGCTATGCTTCCAGCCCCTCTTCTGTTGCTCCGCCTGAGATCTTGCAATGAAGTTACCCTTGTTACGTAAGGCACCCCTAATTCAGTGCTGTGCTAAGTAGGGGTACTGAACCAGAATAAGATTTTACCCTTCATCTAAAGAAGCGTTCAGTGAAATAGTTCACAAAGGCATACATTAAGTCCCAAATTATGTTGGAAAGATTTCAGTGTGGCTGGAGTCTGGTGTTTTGAAAATGAGGGTCAGTGAAGGCGGGGGTAGGAAAGATGACTTGAGGTGGATGTTAAGGGTGTGGCAGGCAGGACAGCGGCCCCTAAAGACACCCACAGCCTAACCTGCGGGCCCCGGGAAGATGTTACCTTACAGGGGCAAAGGGGAACACGGTTGCCGATGGAGTTAAGGTTGCCGATGGAGTTAAGGTCTGCCGACCTTAAGGTGGGGAGCGTGTCCTGGCTTGTCCGGGTGGGATGTGTACAGTATATGTGCCTAAGGTGATCTCAGGGTGCTTGAATGTGGAGGAGGGCACACGGGCACACGGGTCCTTGGTACCACCACCAAGCGCCTCCGTTGTCCTGTAGATTTCCAGGGCAGGAGTCGGAGCCCTGCTGTTGGTGACTTTGGTTTTCTCAGGAGAGCTGACACCTGTCCTCTCAGCAGACACGCTGCAGAGCTCTCCTGAACCCCCCTTGCTATGCTTGGGCTTGGAAAGTGTGAAGGGAGAGGTGGGGACTCGAAAATGGAAACACCGTCTCCTAGGAAAGCTTTTCACCAGTTCCCTTCCCTAGTCGCCAACCTGCCCCAACCCACAGAGCTCACTCAGTCCCCACTAATCCTAAGAGGCAGGAATGATTAGGTTGACCCGTAGGGAACTGTCCTTTCTGTAGATGGAAAAACAGTTGAATATTGGCGATTTCATACCGTTTAACATAATATTATCATCAACGCCATTACATGGATGAGGAAACTGAGGCTTAGGAAGGTTAAGTCATTTGCTCAAGGTCACACATTTAGTGAGTCAGGGCACGTAGACTTGAACAGGGGCCTGACTCCAGAACGTGCTGTTCTAAGTGTGGTGACAGGCTGCTGTCTCCAGAAGGGGCTCCTGCTGGACGATGGGGAGAGAGAAGGCTGGGAGAGCACGGTTTTCAGACGCCAGGACGAGCACCTGGACCTGCCGTGGCAGCCACGGGGAAACCAGTGTGCGACGGAGAGGCTCAAGCTGGGGGAGCGAAGAGTAGGATAAACAGGGACGTGAGGTGGAGGCAGGAAGGGGAGTGAGTCGGCTGCTGCGGAAATCAGGATGAGCTCTCCCACGAGTGGGAGATACTGGAGGTAACTGAAGAGGAAGGAGTGACCAGGGATACTTTGTTGTTTGCGTTTCCTGTCCTTGGCACCGCCTCTAGCGCACAGTAGTGGCACGATAAGTGCTCATTGCATAAGGGCAGAGCTAAGCAGATAAGGTCAGCAGTTGTTCCCAGCAGCGAGGAATTACCCCGTTGAAAATACAGGGTTTCAGGAGCAGCTTTAATGCAAGCCAGGGTGCTGTGAACAGTTCCTGCCATGTATATAGTGACACCTACTGCCAATAATATATGCTGGGACCCTTCCACCAACTTCTTTATACTTGTTGCTCTTATCTTTTTACTTAAGTGGCGCGTTGAGCGGAAATTTGATCACACATCATTGTGCAGTGGACAGCGTTTATAGGTTAGTAAATCTGGGTAGGCTTAAGGGGCACATAGGTGGAAAGATGTGAGGATAAACGTACATACAGGCTGTTGTAAGAACTTCTGAGGTCCCAGGCGTGAGTTCAGGATGCTTATCCCCCATCATAACAAACATATCAAAATACTCCCACAGTGTCTAAATACTCTTAAAGAATTTAAGCTTTAAAAAAATAGTTTTCACTGGAAATTATTTGGCAATGGGGTACTCATTTAATTTATGATTGCCATGACTGCCTGGGAATCGTGGTATTAGGAAATTCTTACCAAGTGATTTCTAACTCACACATGGTTTTCAAATATAATGACATGTTTATCAATAAACTACAGTTATGAAGTTGACATGTTATATTTCAGGGATCTTTCTTTGAATATTTATTCACTTCAGATTTGCAGTGTATTTTTTTGCGTTTGGGGCCTAATAAAATTTCTTTTTCAGTCCCACACCTTTTCGTAGGTCCTTGAAAAGCCTAATGAAAAAAATGGCCCGATGAACACTGCTGCTTGTGTATGATTCACCAACTAGGCATAAAAGTCAATGAAGAATCTCGCTTTTCTCTATTCTAAGGCTACCCCAGAGCAGAACATGGGAAAACAAGTCTTCTTCTTTTCATTTCCAGGACTTTGTTTCTCATTTCTGTTCCCCCACTCCACTCCCATGTTTGCAGTAAGTGCCCGCTGACATGCAGGAGAGGCTGGACGCTGACACAGATACACAGGGGACCCTTCTCAACACAACCCATGTTTTCTGGGGAAAAGAATTTATGATGAAAATTTCCCTAGTTGGACATTCTAGCCTTAACAGCTAGACACTGCCGCTTTTATTTCCCATGTTCAGAGGGCAGTGGTTTCAGACACGTCTTCAGCTGGCCCACAGCAGCTCCAGGAACTTCGGCCACACTAGCAGAGATGGTGGTGGCGCGGGAGCCACACTGCGGGGACCCCTGGCCGTGTGCAGCACCGACCTCGGGGCCCCTACCATTCCAGCCTTGACCTGCGCTGTCAGACCTCCACCTCGGCCCCGACCTCGGCCAGCTGACACCCACCATCCACCGCACAGCCCTGACCTCCGCCATCTGACCCCCTGCCTCAGCCCCAACTGGCCTGACTTACGCCATCTGGTACCCACCATCCGCCCTAACCTTGACCTGGGCCGACGGACGGCCCCCGCGGCCCTCGGGAATTCCTGCGGACACTCCCGGGACCCCCGGAACGAACCCCGGAAGACTCGCGGACCGTTCGGCCGCCGACGCCTCCGAGCAAAGTGATTTCTCGGAAAGCCGAACGCTTCGAAGAAGGCGGGCCAGGCGCGCCGCTCCCATTGGGCGGCCCCTCCCGCCCTTCCGCGCCTATTGGCCGGCACGGCCGTCGCTCTGCGCGCCGGGCCCGCCCCCGGCCTTAAATTAGCGCGGGCGCCCGGGGCCGCGGCGCATCTCCGGAGCTCGGCGGCGGGCGTGGGAACGCGGGCGGCGGCAGACGGTTGGCGGCGGCGCAGGTGGGCGGCGGGCTGGAGCACCAGGGGCGCGGACGGCGGGCTGGGGGTCCTGGGCCGGGGGCGCAGACGGCGGGCGGCGGCGCAGGTGGGCCTGGGGCGCGGGCGGCGGCGGGCGGCGCAGGTGGGCCCGGGGCCTGGGGCGCGGACGGCGGGAGGCGGCGCAGGTAGGCGGTGGGCTGGGAGCTCGGGCCGGGGGCGCGGACGTCGGCTGGCGCGGAGGCAGCGGCCGTGCAGTCTTGGTCTGTTTTCTCTCTCCTCGTTTTCTCCTGAATCCGAACCGAGCATCCAGGTGCGGCTGCTCCCAGAGATTGGCTGATGCTTTAAAATAATCTCGTTTTTCTTAAAATCTGGTTTGCATGGAAAATTTTAGAATGGCTCGTACAAAGCGGGGAAATATTGACCCCCTTGTTATAAGACCTGCTCCTTTCCCGCTCAAATCCTGCTCTTGGAACCGGGCTGGAGTCATAACTGTGAAACTGCCTCTTGTCCAGCCGCGCTGGTGGGGTTAGATTGTGAAGCGGGGCGGGCTGGATTTTTAAATTCTCATCGATGACAAGTAAGATTTCTGAGTGCGGGTGGAGGTACTTTGCTTCCGTAATAGCCCGGTCGTTCCTGGCAAGAAAGTCTCCTTAGGGCTCACAGCTAAAAGAGCATTTTGGTGTAACATGAGCCCCAGGGCAAAGGGCAGACTTTTCTAAGGTGAGGTGTGCTCCTTACCCAGAGCGGCGGAGTGCTTTGTGGATGGAAACTAGAGACTGGATTTTCCAGAGTTTAAACTACCCCCCAGCGTACGAGGGATGTAACCCACCTTTTCTGAAAGCCAAGTTAGGAGCCAGCCCTTGAATGACAGTCCTTTTAGATTATGCAGTTTCCTCTCGAGAGAATTGGGAGAGGTTTAGGTATTTCAGCAAGATTGGGACCAGAAGGAGAAATGGCTTTTGTGCTTTGGGTCTTATGGGTGTCCAGGGCAAATGACCAGGCGCCCTGAGAGACATGGGGAAGGTGAGTCCTGCACCTGCACCACCTCTCAGGCCCTTCCTGGAATCCGGGTTGGGTGGGCCCAGGGCAGCCTCTTATCACCTCCTGCCTGGGAAGCCTGATCCCCGGCCGATTTATAGCTAATGCAGATTAGCTCCAGATAGGACTTGGCCATAAAGAGAATTATTACCTAAAAATCAAGGAAGAGGAAGTTTTAAACATGTGACTGGGCTTATAAACGTTTCCTGGCTCTGTATTTGGTGGGATTTTGTTAGTGTTCAGTAAATCGTTATGGATCACACTGTAAGAGAATGTTAGGCTTTTAACGCCACTTAGAATCTTGGAGGGGGGGTTTCGGTGACAGTTCAGGTGAGCTGTCCATGTGCTGAGATCCTCTCACTTAACCGTGGCTTTTCTCTGCAGGGTGAGTAAAACGAGATCCTGCTGGGGGCCTTGGGGGTTGGGATGTCTCTCTGGGCCTCAGAGTTTTGTCTTTTGAATGAAGCAGGGGCTGGATTAGATGATTTCTAGAGTATTTTCATGTTCTCTGACTCACTCTTCCTCTCAATGCCATTCTCTTACCTTTTTTTTTTCTTCTTATAAATCACCACGAGATTCGTCCTTAACAGTTTGGGGGTCATGAATCCGTTAGAAATCCTGATGAGAAGGTGTTGACCTGCTTTCTAGAAAAATGCCTGTACAAACGAAACTCTGCTTTTTATTTCAGGAGGCTCCTGGAGCACGGACTCCAGTTTATGGACTTTGTACTAAGGGGGTGAGCAAAATGCTAACGAGTGGGGACATTTCATTTAATCGACAGATGCGCAGACACCAGCCTTCTTTTGTGTTCTGACCCCTTTCGCCCTCCTCCACACGGCTCCTTCCTCAAGTGAGGGGAGCTGCTCCATCTTTCCTCCAGGAAAGCCCTGTGGGAATCTCTGCCCTGCCAAGTTATTTTCTGGGGTGCGTGGCGGTGTTGTTTCATCTCTCTCACCAGGTGTCCCTCCCACATCTGTCCCTTCCAGTTTATAAACACGAGGGACTGTTTTCAAATTCTGGGACTTCTGAGATCCATGCACTTTGCCGATGAGGGGAGCCTCAGAGAGATGGTCAGGTGACTCTCCCAAGGGCTAGTTAGAGAAAAGCCTTCGCTGGGGTCTACAGTTTCCAAATCGAAGTCTAGTTCCCATTTCACACGCTTCACTGCTCTTGAATCCACAAACGGGCAGCTGGAGTTAATTGGATGAAAAAGTTACAGGTGGCGCTCATGGGCCCTCACCTCCTCTCCTGCTGCCTGGGACCTGGACCCCTTCTCCGACCGCACAGCCATCCGTGGGGTGGCTGGAGTGTCCAAAACACACACACACTTCTTGCATTACGGACCAGGATGGCTCTGGATGTGACCGTGTTCTTAGGGATGTTATGTCTTGTCACTGGTGATTGTTTCAAATCTGTTGGCCCGAAGCGGTCACATTTTAATCGGAAGAACTGAAATGCTGATTTTTTTGGGGTGGGCGTCTGTCCAACCGCCTAGGGGATTTCCACCCTGTTCTTGTAAACGTGGGCTGTGAGTCGATACGGCACGGTCGCGCTCTCTTTCTCTGTGCTGTTGGGAAAGCTGTCTGCTCTGGCTAGAATGTTCTTCCCAAGGGTGTCTTTGGGCGCCCGGGGTGTTGAGGCCCCCGGATTCTCGTGCATTCTGGGAGAGGCTAGCTTTGCTCTGTTCTGTCACTGCGGTTTTTTTCCTCACTCCTGTCCTCTATCTCCCAGTTTGTCATAAGAGTTCCTGAGGAGGAAAGTTGGGACAGTAGTAACGTGTTGTTTCAAGAGAATCTTCTCAGGTCCGGGCACTGTGTGAGGTGCTCTGTATGTGTCGTCGGAGTCCTCACCGTGACAACGCCCGGTATCTGCACTTATCCTCGTGTGTCGGCCAGCGTAGCTGACACTCCGAGGTTAAATGACGATCCAGGCTCACCCAGCTGAGAGATGGTGAGACTTGAATGGGACCCCAGCTTGGTCCCGTTCCCAAACCAGCTGTGAAGGGGCGATCTAGAAGGGATAGCCTTGAGGATTTCTTGTTTCTCGGAGAGCACAAATGTCATGTTTGCTCATGCATGCTGGTCCAGTGGGGGCATTAAGTCATGTCATGGAATTGGCTCTCAGAGCGATGGACTGCTCATTGAGGGCACCTGAAAAGGTGAAAGTGATTTCCCCCACCTCCTGCTAAAAATGGAATGATGAGCGATGCTCTCAGATGCGGCTGTGTTTGCCTGAAACAGAACAGGGGGTGAAAGCTGGAAAGAGCACAGCCAGAGCCTTAGTCGGGGCCACATCTGTGATGCACAGCTGCAGATTTCCCAGCGAGCTTTCAGTTTCCATTCAGGGTTGGAGGCCCTGGAAGCCGGCATTGCCTTCTCACAGCAGGTGGCCCAGAGTTCCTGGATCCGTGGGTTTCCCCCAAGCTGGCACCTGTGTCCTGATCCTCTGATTTTCCTGTTAGCAGTGCTTGGCTGTTGAGTACCTGGGGTGCTGTGAGTAATTAGACGGCTATGTAATTTCACAGGCTATGTTTTCTCTTTCCAAGGATGTGTGACCGCAACGGCGGCCGGCGGCTGCGGCAGTGGCTGATTGAGCAGATCGACAGTACCATGTACCCAGGGCTGATCTGGGAGAACGACGAGAAGAGCATGTTCCGGATCCCTTGGAAACACGCTGGCAAACAGGATTACAACCAGGAAGTGGACGCCTCCATCTTCAAGGTAGTGGCTTGGCCTCCCTGCCACATCGTGAGCTCCTGGTGCAGCTGTTGAGTGATTGATGTCTTGCTTATCTGCTTGAAAGTTAATCCAGTTTTTTTTAAAACAAATGAGTGCCGAATGTGTCTCAAAAAATATAGTAGGTGATTGTACACCTGTCATACGATTTCACCACTTTCCCGGTATGTTGTATATTGTTGGCATTTTCCGATGAGGAAAACAGAGCACTTTCTCCCCTTGCGCTACCATTTCTTTTGCATGAGGACTGGCAAACACAGAGAGAAAATACTTCTTTTACACTGAGACCTTTTCCCCCGGGCTGCCCCCTAAATTCCCTTTAGAATTCTGGGAAAGGTTTGATTCTTCATTCTTTCAGAGGTGCTACTTCCGCTTGGCAGTGTAGGGTCAGCTCAGATGAGAGAGACACCATCTGTCATCACTTCTGGGACCAGGTCATGTGGGTGTCCTGAACCTGCAGCTGGTGTCTAAAACTAGTCCACTTCCCTTGAGAATCATCAGTACCCCAAGCATGGAGCGAGCTGCTGTGTAGTTCCACCACGTGCACTGAGACAGCAGCACTGACTGAGAGTTTGCTCTGTGCTAGGCCCAGCCCCACGTGTTTTATTTGTTTTCCTCTCACACAATCCTATGCAGTAGGTGCCGTTCCTGTCCTTGTTCTGTAGAGGCTCCAAGAGGAGATGTGACTTGTCCAAGATCTCCCAGCTCTTGGATGATGGAGCCAGTGTCTGAACCCAGGCATCCCAGCCGTGAGCCCAGGCTCCCAACGCCTAGCCGTACCCATCACCTAGATCCAGGCAGAGGAGCCAGGGCAGCCCAGCTCTGCAGCCCAGCCGGGTCATCAGAATCCCCCATCGGTCAGCAGGGTCACAGAAGTGCAGGCTCCGCCCCTTGCGAGACTTGGAGCCCTAGGTCCAAGGTGAGGCCAGGCCTCCATGTTTGCAAACAGACATAGCAGAGGTGATCCGACTCAGAATCTGGGTTGCAAACTGCTGCTATATGTGCTTGTCGTGTGGGCATCTGGGGGCCAGAGTCCAGGAGGGGAGAGTGAGTGAGTGTGGGAAGGAGCCAGGAG